TCCGTGATATAATGTGTATTTTAATACAAATAATTCTATGAGTAATTTTTTTTATTTATAAAAATAAAAAATTTAAAAGTAAGGATTTTTCAAATCTTTTTCACATAAAGAAAGAATGAAAGTAAATTTTATTCTGGAACATTTAGTGTCCTCAGAATAACTACAATGAACAAAGAAATGCCAATTGTATGGCGATTGTGAATAATTAAACGACAATTAAAAATAAATTAATTTACAAGGTTGTCTAACCTTGATATTAAAATGTCATATAGTGGTTATGCAATTGTGTTTTTCTACCGGATTTCTGCCATAGGAATCGATGAGTATTTATAAGTGATAGAGCTAACGTTTCTAGCCCTAATATTTACATTTTCATGAAAATAATTTAAGCAACCAGTAGGTTTCTTTATTTTAAACGTAAATTATAGTAAGAATAATTAAGTTATTATATTTATTAAGAAATACATATTTGTATATATTATGTCAGTTGTGTTACCCACTGTTTCACTAGCACAATCACACATAACGCTGTCATCCGCTGCGAGCGATATAGACAAAGAGATCTTTGAACACCGGGACATATCGCGTTGTGCTGAGTGCAGGAGCCTTTATTACTTCCGACATGAAGTTGCTTTTCTAATCTATTCCATAAATATTGTACCAAGTATTTTACTCAAATAGTGACGTTTTTTGAATACCAAAGAATTTAATTAATACTTCAATTGATGTCAAACGATTAACTGAAGTAGTGATTGAATTCCCAAAAGTTATTCAATTTTAGTAAAATACTTGGTGCTCGGTAATCAGAGTAGCATTTGCCCATCTCTGGAATGAGCCCACGAAGCTCTTCTAGAACGACGGACTGACATAACCGAATTCTCGCATCTTCAATTCCTTACATTCAAAAATGCACCCTTTATATGATTAATAAATAATTTACACTCTGAACCAATGTTCGACCTGTGTGTGGGAATATGTACTCCATCATAACGACTTTAATTTAGATGATGAATGTTAGCAACTTGCTGATGAAATGGTTGGTAACAATACAGACCCCCAACAACAGCCTTAGGACCTTCACTTGTTGTCAAAGGAATAAAATGTATTTTTGATGATAGTAAGGTCAATTCCCTTTCCCTTTCTTAAGAGATTAAGCATTCCTTCGTAATCCGCCCTCACGACAATAAAAGGATGATCCGGAATGTGTGGACGCTACGAACTTATGACGCTTTAAATTTGCCAACGTTTTTATATTAATAATTTGGATGTATACTGATTAAATATTTTTCAACTGCTTTAGATTTGTTTTCTGTAAGATGCTTTACATTTAAAAAATGACCTTTTTTACTCGGTATCACCTTAACCCATAGTAATAAATATTCAAAAACGTATTAATAATGAAATATTTCAAAAAGAAATATAACCTAATTTCGTTTAGCCAAAATTATAATTTTATCTACCGTCAACAAAATTGTATACAGGTCTGAAATTAGTATTTTTACCAGAGGATAACATGAAGTTATTCGCACCTTTACCAATTTACCTCCAAATAAAAAAATTAAACGTTTTGTAACTATATTGTAGGAAATATATTTTTAAATAAAGTTCATTGACTGAATTAAGCTCAAAAAAGGAAAAGTTTTTTACTTAACCTATCAACAAAATTCCTCTTGAAATTTACTACGTTTCCCTCCCATATAAAGTTAATATATAGAATTTGTTTGAATATAAAAGCATCATCCCGGAATTTTAAAAATTATGAGACATATTTAAATATTGATTACAAAATGTAAATTCATAATAACTAATGCAAATAAATTCATTGCATAATAACTATAAGAATACGATTTATATACAAAAGAATATAATATTTACTAAAAGTAATTATAAATCTTCAATATTTCAAAATATATTTAATTTGATAGGAGTGTGGCAGCTCAGTGGGTAAGTACTGACTTCCAAAGCAAAGCTTAAAATTCCTGGGTCGAATCCGGCTGATGGCAGATAACTTACTTATTCTGTTTCATCAGCTGTGGATCGACCTTGGAGTCGGGAGACCCTCCTGTGGACACCCATCCTCTATAAAGTGAGTACTCAAAATTAAATAATCAGTGCCTGACTAGGCTCTCTCTAGAGGAGTCCGCAATATAATTAAGGGATGAATTATGAAAATATAAAAATAAAAAAAATATGACAAATCTTTTTAAAAAAATAAGATGATAGAATGATGAGATACTGTCTGAAGATGGGATAAGAAAGTGATCACGAAACGTCATAAAAATGAAGAAAATTTTTTGGGAGAGTAAACGCTGTTATTAAATTTTATTTATATGCCTCAGAAAAAAAACATCTCCCTTAGGACTTATAAAGAAATTAAATAATTATTTACGAGGGAAAATCTGGAGATTGAGCCGTGATCCCGGCACGATTACCTCCATAAGGGTAAGGTTGGCACAAATGAATTTTGTTTGGCTTTCAGACACCACAAAACGCTGGAGGAAGACCGAATGTTGATTCTTACACAAATGTTTATGCCTTATTAGTTATAAGCGAAATTGTTCTATAATACAATAAAAGTGAATTTGGGTTATTTTGGTATATTTTTTAACCTGTCACTGTCGATTGCAAGCGCGGTCACAACCATCATTGGAATGGGTCTTGCCACGGTTGTGACATTTCCCTTTTTTTTTTTCTAATTTGCTCCTATGAGATAACCATTGTACTTACGCAGAAAATTTTACTATTTATAAATATTCAAGTGTAAACTTTAGTATAAAAAATACCTTTGTTCTATCTAATTGGTATAATACGAAATTGAGAACGATTAAATTAAAATTGTCAAAACCGCAACCTCCTACTTCTTTACAATTTACTGAATCTAACACTCTTCATGCAGTGGCACAGGTTTTTTAAGTATAATTTGATAATTCATAAATATAACATTATTGTTACATTTTTATATTATTCTTGGTGTAACATTATTTAACCTAATGCAGCATATTCCGAAATTGTTTTTGGATAATTACAGGTATGTATTAAGCTCTGATGCAATTTAAAAGAAAAAAAAAATATTGAATAAACGTGAATGTTTAGTTTTATTATCTATTAAGTAAATTTATTCGTATTATAATGTAAAGAAATAATATAATTTAAACATAATAATAATTATAAAATATTAAATGAAGATAAGTATTCATCAAGCTCCGGATCATGTATGTCAAAAGTATTCATATTAAATCGAGTAATCGTGAACGCTCTGGTATCAAATACTCTATAGGTATCAATAAGAATTTATTTTTAAATTATTATATAATTTTAATAATTTCACTCTCATATTAACTTCATCTTACTGCTTTAAAAGCTTTCATAAGCCATATACAAATTTGTCAAATCCCAATTATTATCACATGGCCTTGAAGTGAGATTAAACAAACAAAACGCATTATCTATAACATACTCGTTAAAAATATTACAACCATTACATTATAAATAGAGATAAAACAGGAGTTTAATATAAACAGGGCGGTCCCTCCACGCCCGGTGGTATAATAAAAGGCCTCTGGCCACAGATGCAAAGAACGCATACAGCGTGCAGAGCCCTCTTACCTTAAAATGCCCTTAAAATGGCAATAAAAGGAAAGTTGAAAATTTATGTATATATACATTTATATACATACTGTATTTATTCAAGAAATTCCTGGGGGGTAAGAAGAAAAAAAAAAAAAAAAAAAAAAAAGTTTAATATTAAATATATTTATGGAAATTCTGACAAGTTTACAAAAGTGAATAGAGAACACCCACAAAACAATTTACAAAGAAGTATACAATAAATATTCTGATCTAAAAACAGTATTCGGAAAGATTATTATTTTAACTTTTACAACCATTTTGTTTATTAATACCAAAATAAAATTTATTTCAAGAATATATTTATGATTATATTTCTTAATAAATTATAAAATTTTATTCTTTATATTTATATAAAAAGGCAAACACTAATGTTACTAAATTAATAATATTTTCCAATTATTAGTTAGCTCTACTACTACAATATCGTATTTACACACATCCAATTTTAACTTCTCATAACTTCCTTCTATTCTATCCCAAAAATGTATCCAAATATCAATACCAAATCAACAAGACAAATATTTTTTAAATTAAAAATAAGTGGATTGTGACACACATCAATTATGAAGTTTTTTTTACTAACCCAAAAATGTCTCTTATCAAATTCTCATAGACCCATAGGTGTAAATGATTTAAAAGTTCTTGAATATGTTTCATTAATTCATGTCTTCAAGTAAACTTAAAATCATCTTTGATTATTAATTTGAATAAGTCCGTGTTGAAAAAAGGGAGGGACTGTGGCCTAAGGAGGAACAATTATGGCAAATAACAACCTATTGTTGACACACTCACTAATTTGAAATCCTTAAAGAGAAACAATGAAAGTATATTTATAACTTGGTAAGTCCTGGTTTGACAATGCCTCCTTAGAAGTAAAACGTTAAGACTAAGATTCATTTTAGGAAAAATGATATAAACAAAGTTTGGAAATAATATCAATTTTATTAATGATAAATAAAGAAACGATCAATACTAATCCTTTTATAATTATGTGTATGTATGCTACATACAATATGGTGATGCTTATAAAACAAAACTATCACATGTCCTTGGTTGAAAGTCTTTCACTGTCCCACATTATCACTTTTAATCGAGAGAAAAAAAAATCAAGATTTAATACACTCTGAATCGGTGATAAGATATCAATGGAATTTTTTTCATTTGTAAAATGATCCCCGAAAAAATAACACGACTAGAAACTAAAATAACCTTCCGTAGGCTAGTATCACTAGCCGGCGCGGCGTTAAAGTCACTATTTATTAAAAGAACCGGGGGAGGGGCTTAATCAATGTGAAGATGGAGGGGGTAAGCCCGGACCCCCTACCACTGAGGTTATATATACACGGCGGCCCGTCTGGATTGCACCAGTTCTACCAGTGTGTCTGTGCCCCTCTGACGTGAGCACGTCTAGCAACGTAAGTCCAATACATTTATCCATCTTCTATCTCATCTTCAACTCTTTCTATCGTCTTCCTTCTTCTCACCTATCCCGCAAACGCGAAAGAGTGTACCAGTGCTGGCCTGTGTGAGGATTGGAACAACTTTGCCAGACCATCTCACCAGAGAAGCCGTTATCCTTGCCACCGACCCGCAGCTCCTTGCACAAAGCTAACACTTGTGGATCGGTACCAGAGAGTGCATACTACAGTGCCAACGCCGAAGTGCCCAGTGATTCGCCAAAGTGTCGAAGCCTAAATAATCGCAGTTGCAAGGAATAGTTTCTGAATTTATTAATCGGCTGTGATATGTGAGCTAACCATTTGTATCATTGTTAAAAAGTAAAATAAAATAATAATGAGGATGAATTTTGCTAATTTAATGAAAACGACGGCACTTTGGTGAACTCTTCCGGTGACTTGATTTCAATAGATTTTGTTCGTATACTGTTTTAAAATGCTACCTAATCCAAGTGGAGATTCTTAACCAGTGTAAACAACTGAGAATTAAACAAATTAAATAATAAGAAGTAAAATACCTGTGAGTCTTATGCCTTCTTGCACCACCATTAAAATCTCCAAACATTGTTCAAAAAACAATATCGAAGATAAATATTAAAGTAATAAAATTAATAAAAATTAATGAAATGCCTATTCAACCCAAAAATATTTGTCTTCGGGTTTGATAATTTATTTTCACAAATAACATTTTCAATACTATTTTTTTTTAAATATTGTTTGAAAATATATTAATTCGACTTAAAATCTTTCAACTTTTTTTAGTAGTAATAAATAAAATATATTGCATATATTGTCTGGCTGGCCTATGCAGTTCTCTCGTCGCGTCAAGAAAATCGTAACCCTGTCCTTGGAATTGACTCCCATGGCTGATTCACTCATCCGTCTGTTTCCGTCTGTCTCTTGTTCCTTCAACTTCTTTTCTTTCCAGTTAACCATACTCAAAATCCATTTTGGACAATAGTTCTTTCATTAATTTTTGAGGCTCTATTTCTTTTTTTTTTTTTTTACTTTTAAGTCTATTGTATAATTATGTTCCAATGTTCACTATGTAATTCCAAATATTAATTGAAATAAAAGAACATATGACAAATCCAACACTTTTTATTGGGGAATATAAATATTCCATCTGTGCAGAGATGTGATAATATTCAATAAATACTACTTGGGTTCAATTTATTTAATTTATCAAGCAAAGATACATTAAACAAAAAACAGTGCTAATGTTTAAGAAATTAAATTGAGTATTTTTGAATTTAATTCCAGTATTTTATTAACAAGCAAATTGGAAAACAAAATAAATATAAAACTACATTGTATTTTAGGAATACGAGTAATCAATAACTAATCTCGACTGATGTTTTCATGTTCTGCGAATTATTTTTACAAAGATTAAAATCTTATCTATAATAGATAATACTAGTTTTTTTTTTATAATAAATAAATGAATAACAGTAAATGATAGCATGGATCAATAATATTCTAATAATAGTATGGCCAATGAATTTTAAAATATAAAATTAAATTTGTAAATCACTATATTTTTTATAACGGAAGGAATATATATTTTTTTAAATATTTGATGAAAATTTATGGTTTTGGGGGTCAGAAAACTGATGAATCTCAACACTTATTGAACTCGACTCTATGAAAGACAATTTTTTTTTTTTTAATAAGGAGAAATTAAATAGAAATAGAACTTCTCCAATATCTTTTTTATATGCAGATTTAAAAAAAAAAATCAAAGTATTTTTTTTTTTTAATTTTACTTTTAAAATATCTAGGGATAAATAATTTTACATTAGAAAAATCATCAGAAATAAATTTTGAGTTTGACTTATTATACTCCGGTATCACTATTTTTTTTTAGACTACAACGCTTAATAGACAATGGCAGTACTCACAATGAACTATTTTGAATACGAACAGAGCCAAAGCAATATTAAGTGCCATCTTAATATTAAAAAAATATTATTTCTTGTATAACCGAGAAATCATCATCCGATCTCTTAATAAATTTACTGTTTTAAATTTATTTCTATTCCTATTAATTTTTCTATTTATTTAATTATCATAAAATTAATTATTAATATTTTATGACAATTGGGTTAAAAAAATGTCTTTTAAAGATCGTAAGTGTAATCTATTCAATTGTTAAACGAAATATTTGATAGTCAATGAACACTTCATTCAAGTCAAATTAATTATTAATTTCATCGAAAATTTAAAGAGGTTACTTTAAAAAAAGTATAAATTGAAAAATATTTGAGGGAACAAGTTTATAACTACTTTTGGATCAGATTGTATAATTCTGAAAAATCTGCGGTTTATTTACTACCAAATAAATAAATATCCAGGACTAACATTATAATTTTATAATTTAATTTTTCATTTGTAAGATTGGATCATAAAGTAAAACAAAAGTAAATAGCTACAATGGCTGTTTAGCGTAAACCTGTATTTTATATTCTATTACCCTCGGGTTATTTATACGACTTTAGCTTTGGTCACGAACGAAGCTTGCAGATCCTCAGACTCACGCTATAGTTGCCCGAAGGGCACACTCAGCATCCCTGCCACTTTAGAATCCACCATAAATATTAATATTAGCACCATTTCCACGATAAATTTAGGTTTCGGTTTGAAATTACTGCTTCATTCATCATTCTAGTTGATGGGCCAAATATCTGGACATATTTATAGGAAAGTGATCGATTTATACTAAACACATAATTTCTCATGCCATTCTGAACATTACGGAATAGGAGGGAGGGAGGTCATGACTGAATAAAGGAAAATCTCAGGTAGATAAACGATTTCAAACTCTACAATATTAAACTAACAAGTAGTTTATTGTTATACAATTAATAAATATATTTTAAAGTAAAACAATATGTAGATAGAACAACAATTTTTAAAAATTATCTTTCTTTGATTTCAAACATTTTGTATCATATCATGTTACATTTTCTTTCCAGTTATTTAGGAGGGGACAACGACTCCTTCTACTCTCCCCTGCGAAAATCCATGATCCTGATTTATTTTTTTTTTTTTTTATTGGGTAATATAACAATTTATCACAATAAGGACAATAGTTATAAAAGAGTTCATTCACACCAATGGAAGCACAATACAATAAAACAAAAAAATAATAATAATATTGAAAACAAACAAACAAATCTATACAATAGATCAAAACAAAAAAAAACTTAAAGAGAACAGAAGCAAAATATAACTTAAACATAGACATTTTCTGGATTAGATTAAACATTAATTGGAAACAGCACGATTATTAATTTTTATATAAATTCAGAATGGTAAATGCACAAACATCTTGAATGATCAGTCATTGCCTAACTGACGTATTGAAAGTAATTTATGATCTACTGGAGCCGGCACTTATACAAATATGTTTTTTTTTTTTTTAAATGCATCTGCGATTAGTGAAGATAAAATAAATATAAAATGACGATATATTACAGTTCGTTTCCTCTATTTTATTTAATTCATTAATCATAGTTAAAAGTAGATAATAGCCATAATTGATAATTATTCTATAATTAGTTTCTTTGTCAGCATCAATAAAATATGTGTAATGTCAATCAAAAAGTTAGTTACAATATTTGAGACATTTATTTATAATGTTAATCCTAAGCACCATTGACATTTTTTTTTAAAAACACGAAAAATTATAATTTTAATTTTAATATCAAAACGAATATGTTTTTAATAAGTAAATTAACAAAGTCTTTCTTTGTAGCTCATATTTCCGGAAAGCACTCTGATTACTTTGATTGTGATTAAAAAACAGAGAAACTTAAATAGGGCCTCTTTTGCGAACAAAACAAAACAAAGTTTAGTTTGGGAAAAAAATTGTACTATAAAAAATTAATATTTTGTTTTCAATTATTGCAAAATAAAATTATATTAAAATATATATTTATAACGATCGTCGCTAATGACCTTGGCAGTCGATGCGACGTTAAATAACAGCAAATAAAAAAAAATAAAATAAAAAATAATTCATTTTTAATTTTTATTTGAATAAAAAGGTTAAAGAAGCTTTTGATGATTTTTTTTTTAAAGACTAGGGGGTTGGGTAACCTCTATGCGCCAAACCCCCATGGCGGGCCAACCCCATTTTACAAATTATACATCTGTTCATCGAATGGTAATCCTAGTTGTATGACTGCAATTTACATGTAATCTGTAATAAACTGAACGAAACCACAGCTCGGACAAATGTTTAATTTCTTTAAAAATCTTTGTTATAAATCGCGCCTATGGAAAATTTACATCATTATATAATTATAATTATTCTTATATTGTTATATATTCCACTTGTCCAGCAGGAGCTTATATATGAATATAAGTCCAATATCAATTTGGGCCTTTTATTTCTAATATTTTCATTGTACTTTATATTGTGTTTCGTTTTCTATTTTATAATAATTATAATTATATCACAATATAATATAAATAATATTATACATAATATCATAATTAATGCATTGTTTCCAAGAGGAAAATGTCTAAGTGGAAAATTAACTCCTGTCACCTAGGTAAAACCAAACTCCCACCTTCAGATGAATACCATTTTTCGTATAATTTTTTGGTCTAAAATCTTTATTTGGCATCAGGAGAGTAGGAGGTTACAGGAGCTCAACAAATATGTAATTAAATGAACAGCTGTATAATAAGTGCTAATTATAGAGCTAATAGGACAGCTCCTGTAATCTTCTATTCTCCTAACACTAAAATAAAATAAAGTATGAAAGTCACTAAAAGCTATTTTATATAATAAAGACAAATACAAGTTTTATTAGATTTCTAGAAAAAAAATAAATAGGCGGATTCGGAAGAAATAAAGTTATTCCCACATTAATTTTTAAATTTTAGGTAAAATAATTGTGCCATCGGATTTATTGGGTGTTTTAAAATCGATACTTATCTCGATTTAC